AGGGTGTGAAGAAAAATGAAACTCTCCTACACTGTTGGTGGGAATGTAAATTGGTGCAGCCATTATGGAAAACAGCATGGAGTTTCCTCAAAAAACTAAAAATAGACTTACCATATGATCCAGTAATCCCACTCCTGGGTATATATCTGGAGAAAACTCTAATTCAAAAAGATACATGCACCCACAATGTTCATAGCAGCACTATTTACAATAGCCAAGACATGGAAGCAACCTAAAAGTCCATCAACAGATGATCGGATAAAGAAGTTGTGGTATATATACACAATGAAATACTACTCATCCATAAAAAAGAATGAAATAATGCCATTTGCATTAAGTAACATGGATAGACCTAGAGATTATCATACTAAGTAAAGTAAGTCAGGCAGAGAAAGACAAAATATCATATGATAACACTTATATGTGGAATTTTTAAAATGATACAAATGAACTTATTTACAAAAACAGAAAGACTCACAGACATAGAAAACAAACTTATGGTTACCAAAGGGGAAAGGAAGGGAGACATAAATTATGAATTTGGAATTGGCAGATACAAACTACTGTATATAAAATAGACAAACAACAAGGTCCTACTGTATAGCATAGGGAACTACATTCAATATCTTATAGTAACCTATAATGAAAAAGAATATGAAAATATATACGTGTGTGTGTACATACAACTGAATCACTATGTTGTACACCACACACTAACACAATACTGCAAATTGACTATACTTCAATTTAAAATTTTTTAAAATAATTTCTCAGCTTTAAAAAGGTAAAAATTCAGGAAGCTCTGTGCTCTGAAAAAAATTACACCTGGAGCTCCTTCCACCAACTCTATTTCAGGATTTCCAACTTTATTAAAGCCTTTTGTGAGGAAAACAAAGAAGAATATATCCTCTATTTGTACTGAACAAATATTTAAACTCTGTTGCATCACATGTGTCCAAAATGTTTACAGAAGGAAAAAAGTTTGATTTAGATACAGACTGCCCCAAGCCTTTTAAAGCCAGCAAGCTTTTGCTGGGAAAATGGAACATTTTCCTGATGGGAAGGAAAATCCATCTCGTTTGGACATGGAGGTTGATCTTTTCTTCCTTCTTCCATTTCTGATCTCCATCAGGAAAAGGAAACACAGAGACAGTTTTGAGGGTGCTCTCCATCAATGATTCTCTCTAAATTAAGACAGTGGCCGAAGAAAGTAATGTGTGGCCTGGTCCCAGACCTTTAAACCAGAGTTACTCTCAGTTTGGACACAAAGGCATTGAGCAGTGTGGGCCAGTTTCAATCTTCAGAAAGCACCAAGGGTGAAGAGAGTGCTTTCCTGAGGGGCAATCCAGAGCCGTGGCAGCATAGAGCTGAGCTCAATGAGAAGAGATGTCATTTGGATCCAATCATCTTCTCACCCTGTATGTCATATCTTGGCTTAATGTCACAAAATGAAGGTCATAATAAGAGACTGTCATGAGAGTTACATTACTGTAAGAGCAATATTTTTATGAGAGATGTAAAAGTGGGATACTCACATCTGTGCTCTTCTTACCTTTTTTTGTTGTTGTTAGTCCAATCTGAAAGAGTTTATCCATGGGCCTCCTCCCATGTGTACCTCCCTTACACTAACAGGATTCCCCCAGGGGCTGGGGGAGTGCAGCACTGGGGATTTCTGATACAGGGTTCGGGAGTAATCACCAGTCTCCCAGGATTAGTTGTATATTTCCAAAGTGACAGCCGACTTCTCATCTATTCCTGAAAGTTTTACCTGCCTTTCGATCCCAACTATTACTGGAAAATCATGATAACCACCAGAAGGGAACAGAGTCAGAGGGCTAAAACTGGACTGAGCAACTAGGTAAGCTTATCACACATCAGCCACCCCCTCTAATGTGAGTAAACCCAGGCTACATGGATCCCACTGAGCCTCCCACCCTCCTGATCCTTTCCCGCTACTATTAAAGCACAATGGTTGCTCTGGCTTCAAATCTGTTTCTGATCATTTATGGAAAGCCTGGGGCAAATCCCTTTAACCGCTCCAAGCCTCAACTCTAAACGTATCTGTCATTAAAGGAAAGACAAAATTCACACACCTGTGAGTGGCTCCACTGGAGGAGAGAAAAGTCTGGGGTCTTGGTATGCGTATCAGGGGGTGAATGTGCTGATTAAAGTATTGAATATTGCTCCCTGGTGAAGGAAACCAGAATATGTCACTCCAAAACATCCCTCTTTGACATAATTATTTTGAGCTAAAGGTAACTAAGCAGCAGCAAATGTAGGAATAGCTCTCTGCTCTCCCCACTTTTGCCTAAAAGCAGGACATACATTTTCAAAGGTGTCCCTCCTCCCATCTCTACCAGGAAGGACAAAAGTTAATCCGGGGAGACAACTTTAGACTCTTATCAGTCTGGAGGACACCAGAGGAATCTGCATAAAAAACCTTGCCAACTGGCCTGTCCTACTCTCTTCCCAGGTGGTTTTGGGTACCAACAGCTTACTCTTTCCTCTGCTAAGCAGTGTTCCCTGTTACAGATGTACTGAAGTTGGATTAAGGACTCACTTGTTGAAGGATGTCTGGGCTAATTCCAGTTTGGGGTAATTACAAATCTGCCATTTTAGGATTTGTTTTCTGTTTGTTTCTTCTATTTCTTTCATTTTGCCTTCCTGTGGATTACTTGAACAATTTTTAGAATCTCATCTTGATTTATTTTTTTCTCCTTTCCAATTTTATTTTATTATGGTAAAATACAAATAACATAAAATTTACCACCTTAATTAATTTAAGTGTACAGTTCAGTGGTATTAAGTACCTCATATTGTTGTGTAACCATCACTACCATCCATCTCCAGAACTCATCTTGCAAAACTGGAATTCTATATCCACTGAATAATTTCCCATCTCCTCCTTCCCCTACCCTAGGCAAGCACCATCCCACTTTGTCTCTGATTTTAACTACTCCAAGGACATCTTGAAAGTGGATTTACACAGTATTTGTCCTTTTGTGACTGGTTCATTTCACTTAGCATCATGTACTCGGGTTTATCTATGTTGTAGCATATTCCAGAATTTCCTTCCTTTTTAAGGCTAAATATATTCCTTTGTATAAATATACCACATATGGCTTATCCATTCAAGCATCGATGGACATTTGAGTTGCTTCAATGTGAAGCTACTGTGAATACTACTACTATGAACATGGATGTACAAATATCTCCTTGGGACTCTACTTTCAAGTCTTTTGAGTATATTACCCAGAAGTGGGATTGCTGGTAATTCTATACAGAAGTATATAATTCTACTTTTTATTGTTTCAGGAAGCACCATACTGTTATCCACAGTGGCTATACCATTTTACCTTTAGTGTTTTTGAGTGTATCACTCTGTGTAATTTTCTCAGCAGTGACTTAGTATTACAATATATGTGTGACTTGTCAAGTCCATTGGTACCGTTTTAGCCCTTTGCAGTATAGAAACCTTTCTTCCATTTATGTCCCTTTACCTTCCCAACTTTTTTTTAACCTTCCCCACTTTAAAATATTTTTTGAGTACTAAATGGTGTTACAATTTTGTTTCAGTCATCAAATATGAATTATTTAACTCATGAGGAAGATAACTATTCAATGTAACCATATTTCTGTTCCCCGTTGTTCTGTCTTCTTTCTAGATGCTCCAATAGCCCTTATTTTATCACTGACTCCTGTCTGAAGAACTTCCTTTAGCCATTCTTTTAGGGTAAGTCTGCTTGGAAACGAATCCTTTTAGTTTCCCCTTCACCCCTGATGGATAATTTTGCTAGATATGTAATTCTGGGTTGAGTTTTCTTTCAACTCTTGAAAAATGCTGTCCAATTCTTTCAAGCCTCTGTAGTTTCAGATGAGAAATACAGTGTCATCTGAATTGTTCTCCCACAGATAATGTGTTGTTTCTCTCTGGTGCTTTTAAGATTTTTTTCTTTGTCTTGAGTTTCAGAAGTTTAAATGTGGTATGTCTTGACATGGATTTCTTTGGATTTATGCTATTTGGATAAATTAATAAATTTAAACTTTTAAAACAAGCACATTTCAAGTAGTTGAATCATTGGGTTTATGTTTTTCATTAATTTGGGAAATTTCTGGACATTATTTCTTCAAATGTTATTTTCAGCCCCTCTCTTTTCAGACCTCTTTTGGGACTCTAATGTACAAATGTTGTCTTTTGTTATTGTTCCTACGGCTGTGGTGTTTTGTTTTGTTTTGTTTTGCAGTTAACTTTTTCTCTGTTCAGATTGGGTAAATTATATCCTCAAGTTCATTGATTCTATCTTCTGTCATTTCCACTCCACTCTTGACTCCATTCAGTGAGTTTTAAAAATGTGTTATTGTATTTTCAGCTCTAAAATTTCCATTTGGTTATTTCTTGTAACTTCTATTTCTTTGCTGAGATTGTCTAAATTTCAATTTGTTTCAAGAGAATTTGGAATCGATTGTGGAAGCTTTAGCATGATGGCTGCTTTAAAATCCTCCCAAGTAATTCTAACGTTTGTTCATCCCAGTGTTGGCATCACTGATTTGTCTTTTTTCATTCAAGTGTGATCGTCCTGGTTCTTGGTATGACAGGCAATTTTCCATTGTATCCTGGACATTTTGGCAGTTATTAGGAGGCTCTAGGTCCTATTTAAATTTTGTATTTTAGCAGTCACCCGTTTAGGTTTAACTTTTATAAGTGGGCCTGGCCTACTTTTGTGGGCTGTGGTTCCAAAGCCAATTATCAGAGCCTTTGTGGTATTATTTTGGTATGCTTAATTTATCTCGTGCCACTGGGGCTCCCCTGGTCCCTCCTGGTGCTGCCTGGTGTCTCCAGGCACTTAGGGACAGATAGGACAAGTGAGAAAGGCCAACTGCAGTGCAAAATGTATAATATAATCACATTTTCCTACAAACAAAAAATTCCTTCTAACATTTGTTTGCATGTTTGTATGTCAGAAAAGTTTCAGGGTAAGCACAAGGTTAACACTGGTTGCTGGGAAGACTGGAGGAAGATTATTAATCTTATGTTTATTAATTTAATTTTATTTCCATGTATTGTTTCACCAATTGCAATGAAAACATTTTTGTTTTTGAAGCAGAAATTAACAAACACCTGAATCAGATTTTACTGGACTGGTTATCCATCTGCACCTGTGCCACAGTGCATAGTTGACAAAATTTCACCAAATCATAGCTCTTATCATTTATAACCAAAATAACATGGCTGTTCTGGGAAATCAATCAAGTGCTTTTAAGACCAAGTGCAAAATAATATCAGTACCAAACAGTTTATCAACAAAGATGGAGAAGAAACTGCTTTTTAATGTTGAAGGTAAGTTATCAGATTTCCTCAGAAGGGACTGTGTTGTAAGCAGCTTGACAAGTATTCAAGTCTTCCTCAAAGCTGATGATCTTCTTTACTTGTTAGAAAGAGGAGCAGATGACATTATCACTGGGCATAGCTTTCAAAACACAGCCCCTGGGACCTACCCTGGAGTGTGTGTATAAGACTCTATTGTCAGCTCCAACTTTGAAGAAGGTATGAAATGGTATAACCCTGTTTTCAGAACGATTCTCCCACAGCTGGCAAAATCAATCTTCTAAGAAATTGTTCTGCTGCACAGAGACCACTGACAACTCCCCCTCCCCTTCAGCACAAGGGAAGCTACAGCACCGGTCTTCGGACAGCACAAATGACTCCTGTCTTTCCCTCAAGCTCCTGCCATTTTAAGCCACCAAAAAGGAGCCAGCTTTCTCCAAAATCCTGCCAGCCACTCAGGGAATCACAGAATAAGGGAAGGAGCTCCCGGCATGTGAGCTCAGTAGCTTTAGACTGAATGTATTTTTATATTAGAGGAAATTTAAAAAAAAAATTAAAGCAGCATCGATTCTACCTACATGGCAGTATACCATTTGTGTTTTAGGGGGTGTGAGGACAGGGGCATAAAATCGAGCTGGTGGCCCAGAAGCTCACCCTGGCCCCCCCATTCTTTCCAGCAGACCCCTAAGAAACTTTTTGTTTCTGCTGCACAAATAAAGCTACTAGTCCTGCTTTCCTTGCCAGGTTCAAAGGTACTTTAGAACATAGCTTGTATTATTTTTAAAAACAAACAGAAAAGGACTTAGGTGCCTGTAATAATTTATTCTGAAGCAGAGAGAATACTGACCACGGCCACCATCCAGACTAAAATATTTCCAAACAGGAATATTTTTAAAATATTAGACTTTTAAGCCAATAACTTAGAAATTTTTAAAAAATGCACACACTGAAAGAAGACATTATGTAATGTTTTAAGCATTATTCCTTAATGCCCATTATTAAGGTTTTTCAGTTTTAGAAAGACCAAGAAAAATTAACAATAAAACATGTAATTCTTGATGGGGACAGACAGGGACAAATTTTGACATTAGCTTCAGCAGTGGAGGAAGAGGAAAAAGCCCGTTGTTGGCAAATGGTGTGATTTCACTGAGGAACACAACAGATCCTTCAGCTCACTGTAAATTAGTCATCCTATTCTGTGGCGCCTTTATAGCAGCGTTGACACAAACAAGCGAAGAGGAGAGAGTGAACAAATTCAGATTTCCTTGGCCCGATGCTTTATCAGCCTCCCAGTGTACCCACTGCACTGAGTTATTCAGTCCACTCATCAGAGCCCAGGGTTGAACCTCCTGCTCTCACTGCACAAGTTCTAGGCTCTTCTTATGTCAGTGTTCTGCGCCCATCCAAAGCATCATCCAAAACAGTGTTTTCAAAATGTTTGGACCACAACCCTCAGTAAGAAATGAATTTACACTGTAATCCATTATACACATGTGCATAGACACTTGTAAACAAGTTACACCAGACAATGTTTACCCTAACGACATCTGGTATGTTCTGATATCTCTCTTCCACTCTAATCCATTTTTTTTAAATTCTGGTTTTTATCCACTAAATTGATCTCACAATCTATTAATGGGTCCTAACCCGTAGTTTAAAACATAGTGATGTACCACACTTCCATATTTTGAGACACGGAATTATAGTCCTTAAGTCAGTCAATTTGGAATTGTAAAATTCTATGAGACAAGTATCAATTTCAGAGGCGATATTGAAAAGATTTCTCTTTCCTGGCACATACAAACTGGGAAACACTGAAAATCATTCTGAAGAATCAGTGGCCATCTGAGTCACAATCACTTGGAACATAGATAAACACAGGTTGAAGGCTAGACAGAGCCCAAGAGAAGAGGGAAGACATGTATTGGAACCAGGCCAACCTGCACAGCAGCAACAGGAGACTTTCACAGCAATGCTGCAAGTAATCTCATTTTCCTTTTGCTAAAAGAATTGGTTGAGCACTGACTTTGGTCCCATCACAGAGCGTTAATTTCAGTTAGAAGTAGAATAAAAAAAGATCCACTAAAATGTTGTTCAACTTCCTCATCTCTATTTTTTCAAACAATGACTAGAATTTTATTAGCCAAGGAAGAGCATTTGTAAGAAAAATAACAAACAAACAAAAGTCTTAAGGATCATCAAGTACATTACATATTTATAATTCATATTTTAAAAGGCCACAGTCCATTAAATGCACCAACTTATGTCATAGGCCCATCTGTCAACTAAATTAATGTCCATAGTCCTCTGGCTCAGGGGACTGTCCTTTGCCTCTGACTTTGGTCTCTGTGATGGCATCAGAAAGGACACTGTTTCGTGGTTTAAGGTTAACACCTTAAAGGTAAGCACAGCTCTGACTGTACTGTGATGTCAGAAAAGGTGTGTCTGGGTCTCCAGTGATCATGAGTGTCCCACACTTTACTATCACAGCCCAGTGGCTAATGAGATTTGCACATTATCCTTCAGAAAGTAAGCTCCTCATCCTCGGCATAGGCTCCTTTCACAAAATACGAATGATGTTTAGAGAAATAAATGGTTCTTTTTTGCTCGGGGGCAAAAAAAAGGTAAACACAGCTCTGGAGGCAGGGGCTCTTCTCCAAGAAAACTTCCACCTGTCTGTGCAGCTCTGCGTATCTGCCAACATCCTCCTCCACCGACACCCCCACCACCAACAGCCAAAGAAGAGAGGGCAAAGGCTTGTGAACAGCTGGGGCTATGTCAATCTTTGAGGGGAACACATCCTGGTCTCTTGGGGGTGGGTTCTGGAGTCTCTCTCCTGGCTGAGAGCTTGTCACCCACATGCACGAGGGTCCTCTGGGATTTCTGACAACTTTCACAGCTTTAAGTTCAGAAAGTGCTTTCAAGCAGGCAGTGGCACCCACACCCAGTGGGACACACCTCCTGGGTCCGAAACCACTCCATCATGTGGCTGGTGTGTCCCCCGTGCCCACAGGTCAGGCAGAAATTAGACGATCCTCTCACAGCCACGTGGCAGATGGCGCACTGAAAGGTGAAGCCTTTGCAGATCGCGCACTGTGTGCCCCGGACCTCGCTCCGGCAGTGGCTGCAGTACACGCCGAACTCTGGAGAAAGGTGGAGATGCCAGAAAAGAGACATGATGAGTTTCGTTCCACAGAGGGGAACTGCTCATTGTAAGAAAGATGTACTCATTTTAGGATTCTGTGGGATCCTATTAGACCCATGCTTTTCAATTTTTTTTTTTAAACAGCAGAATCCCGTCTTCTACAATCTTGCTACATCTTATAAAGAGGAGGTGCTGTCACTGCAGTGGCGAGGCGGGGGCAGAGGGTGTGGCAGGTGCCTGGCTCTCAGAGGCCCTACATGAAATCCCAGGTGCTGACACAGAGAAGGCGGTGAACAAACATTTGCTGAAAGCACTGATAGACTCAGGTGACAGCTGGCTGGTCTTAGAATCTCTTCCCTACCTGCCTGCCAATGACCCAGCAGCCTAAGATGGATGGAGTCAGGACACGACAATGCCACCCCAGCACAGGGAGAGTGGTCAGAACCACCCTGATCAACCAGTCCCTAGCCTCCTCCACACATCCAGCCTGCTCCAGTTACCACCATGGGTCCTGGCCACACACGCTCACAGCCTATCACCCTCCTTCATTCCCGCTGCTCTGGAGATCCTTCCTCCTCCCTGCCCAGCCTTCCATGGCGCCATGGTATAAATCTTCCCATGTGCTCTCCAAACTCTCCTGGGAATGGTCCTCTCACCACCTGGCCCTAAACAAATCCCGATGCCTCTGGACCTCCCAAAAAGGATCCTTACGTCCTAAGAACAGAGAGGCAGAGGGATGGGTGCCACATAATTGCCTCTAGATGGTACCTTTCCTCTTGAGGCTACTGCCACCTGGTTTCACCAGCCTCTCCCCCTTTTCTTCTGCTGTCATCTACTGCCATCTTGGACACACTCCCAACACACTGACGACTTCAATCTTCCCTCAATCCTTGGCGTCTTCAAGATCCACGCCACTAACCCTCTGTACACCTGGCCCGCCAGGTCACTGTTCTAGCACCTCTAATCCACCGCCTTCACTTGCACCTTCACGCTCTCATCCCCTTTGTGACTGCAGTTTCCCCTGGAGCAGCCTGAATTACACGAACCTACCTCATAGTCACTTTTTGGAAAAATCCTCAACTCCTCTGCCCCTCTCTCCCTCACGGTACTACCCGACAAAACCTCAACCTGGATGAGCCCCATCACTGGCCTCCTCCAAGGCCGCCCGTGAGCTTTCCTGAGGGAAGGCACTCGGTCACGATGGGCGCCTCACAACAGCACCTCTGGACCGACTCCTCGCGGGGCATGGCAGCAGTCAGACTCTCTCTTCTAACCCCAGATGGTGGCTACTTCACACTCCACCGCTTTCTTAAAGTCTTCCCACACACCTCTCTCTCACCTAACAGTCTCTTTTCTCCCTTCCCTGAGAGCATAGAAGTCTTTGAATGTAGGCCCCTTCTTCTGAACCCCTAAATCATCACATCTCCCTAGGTTTGCTCCTCTTCCACCTCTTACAGCAGAGGAAGCGTCCTGGGCTCCAGCTCCTGTACTTTACAACAATAAGCAGTCATGGCTCGGGGGCAGAGGCGGGGTGGAGGGTTATGGGGTGGGGCGATGGAAGGTACAAACTACTGGATGTAAGACAGGCCAGAAATATGTAATGTACAATATGGGGAATATAGCCAATGTTTTGTAATAATTGTAAATGGTGTATAACCTTTAAAAACTGTAAAAAATTAAAAATAAATAGGTAGTCATAAAAAATTTATCAACAGAGATTTTAAATACATGGTAAGTAAGAGCAACAGTTTTATGGCAGTCCCTAGTTAAGGTAAATCCTGACATAAACTACTTCGACAATTCTGGTTAAAGATACCTATGTCTTCTCTCTCTAAGCATAACTTTTTATATTATGCAAGACTTTGGTTTCTGTTCTCATTAAGAACTGATTAGTTGATGTTTTGGTCTATGTTCACATTAAAAACTGATTAGTTGACATTTCTTAAATTACTATCATTGGTTTTACTGGTTTGAAAAAATTCAACATTTAAAATTATGAAAATGTAAAAATTGTATGTTCAAGTAAACTGAATTATAATAACACATCTTTTAAGAGGGGTTGTTCTTTGGCACTTGAGATAATTATAAATTTAAACAATTATTCTCCATTTCTATCTGGGTAAAATGATTAAAATGTCATCTCTGAAAAATTCAATGTATCATTAGTAATTATGTTTCTCTATAGTGTGTCACTTAAACTTAATTTCTAATATCCTTATTAACTTTAAGACCTCGAACTAATATTTCATTTAGCTAAGGAATACTCTTTGGAGGTGTGGACAATTTCCAAACAGATATAAATTCCCAAAGACAGAAAATATAAAAACACTAAGTCACTGAGCATAATATTAATGTTTCTCTCTTGCCTCTTATTGTTATACACAATGGAATGACCGCTAGTTAACAGGAAGAACATATGCACACTTTGGGCCATGCTGGTGAACACCTCTAGGAGGTACCAAGGGACGTGGAATGTGTTCAAAATTGCTTAGAAATGTGCAATCTTCTGAGATTGAACCAGGAAGAAATAAGAAATATGAACAAACCAATTACCAGTAATGAAATTGAATCAGTAATTTTAAAACTCCCAACAAACAAAAATTTCAGGACCAGATGCCTTCACAAACCAAACATTTAGAAAAGAGTTAACATCTATCCTTCTCAAACTACTCCGAAAAATTACAGAAGAAGGAACTCTACAAGGCCATCACCCTGATACCAAAATCAGATAGGTATATGACAAAAATGATAGGCCAGTATCACTGATGAATATAGACACAAAAATCCTCAACAAAATATTAGCAAATCAAATCCAACAATATAGGAAAAGTATCATATACCATGATCAAGTGAGATTTATCCCAGGGATACAAAGGTTTTTCAATATCCACAAATCAATCAATGTGATACACCACATAAACAAAGTGAAGAATAAAAACCATATGATTATCTCAATAGATGCAAAAAAAGCTTTTGACAAAATTCACCATCCATTTATGATAAAAATTCTCCAGAAAGTGGGCAAAGAGGGAACATACCTCAACATTATAAAAGTCATATATGACAGACCCAGAACTAACATCATACTCAATTGTGAAAAGCTGAAAGCATTTCCTTTAAGATCAAGGACAAGACAAGGATGCCCACTCTCACCACTTTTATTCAACATAGTACTGGAAGTCCTAGACACAGCAATCAAAGAAGAAAAAGAAACAAAAGGAATCCAAATTAGAAAGTAAAACTCACTGTTTGTAGATGACACAATACTATACAAAGAAAATCCTAAAGACACCAGCAGAAAACTACTAGAGCTCACCAATGAATTCAGTATAGTTGCAGGCTACAAAATTAATATACAGAAATCTGTTGCATTTAAATACATTCACAATGAACTATCAGAAAGAGAAACTGAGGAAACAATCCCATTTACCATCACATCAAAAATAATAAAATACCTAGGAATAAATCTACCTAAGGACATAAAAGACCTGTACTTGTAAAACTATGAGAAAGTCACAAAGCTGTCATGTGTCTTTCATAGGAACATGGACAAACTTGGGGATCTCAGGGAAGGAGACATACAACCACAGGTATACAGGCTTTGCAGGTGAAACCCAGCATAAGTGAAATGGATCATTCTTAGTTCGTAACAGATGAACTAACGAGGACAATAAAAACACTGCTGGCACATGGAATGATCAAATTATGACTCCCATGGCTTTACAAAACCTCCAGGCAGAAGCTAACTCCAAAGGCTTAGTGTCATAAGGAGGTTCTAGTTTGTTAACCCTATAAAAGAGTTGTGTGTGTTAATTAACATCACATTACACAAATGTAAATAAAACCAGCCAAGTAAGTAAGACATTAAATGAATAAACTGAAACAGAAACTTGCTGAATAAAATTTAGGTGAGCTGAACTGCACCTCTGGGGCAGGAACTGAGGGTGGGGCTGCACCTTGCGCTGCCACCATTCTGACCTAGTGCCACGCACCTCAATGGAAAAAAAACAGAAACAAAATCATCTTTCACACAGAGATTATTTTTCAAAGAATACTCTGTCTAGCATTATCCCCTCAAATTACAGGAAGCCTCCAGTTCTTTCCAAAATCCAGTACCCTAAATGAAAACAACTTTATCCCTCAAATCTTGCTGCCGATACGGGATGACCCTTGCAGATGTGGTAAGTGCGAGAGGAAATTGCTGATTTTTCACCACAAGACCAACCTGGCAACCTTGTCCTATTTAATACCTACTGTTTCCTGTACTTGGGCAACCTGACTCTTTGAAAGGAAAAACTTAAAGGATGAAATACTTAATGTTTTTGTCTGTGACTCTCACAATCCACCCCCACAACTGCCCTCGCTTTTTAAATCTGGTAATATTGTTTGAATGGTATCAGGACATACTATTCATTCTTGAATATCATTTAAGTCTTAGGAGCTCATGCTTTGTCTCTCTGGATTACAGACTTCCTGAATCGTCCCCTCCCCAAACTACACCTTATAGTTCCTTTTCCAGCCCAAAGAACCCAGAACCCTTTATAATAGGAGATGTCAATAAGAGACTAGCTGATGGATTGACATATCGGCTACCTAGCTCTGTGATTCATTCATTTTCCTGAAAACTAATCTTAAAAGACAAATTGCTCCAGGCCATCATAATCTCTCCCTGACATACTTTCATGCATGTGGATGCTCTGAAAAATATATTACCCAAACGGCATTTTGTGCCTGCATTTCTTCATGGACGTGCACCAAAATAATCTGTATTAAAATAATCCTTGTTATTCAATATCTAAATCGATGTATTTCTTTGGCTTGTTTTGTAAAATTGAAACTGTATTTACACAATTTAAAGAGTCAAATTATTCTATACATTGTATTATCAAAACCAGCCTTCCCTTCCACCCCAACACCCATCACTCCCTAAGGAAATTCTTCCAATCCATTTAACTGTCTCTACTGTTTTTACCTTGCTGTCTCCACATATGGTTATAAAGCTATTTCTTAATTGTCATATTTAAGTAGTCTATTTGCCTTCCACAGTGGAAGCTCCCTTTCACTCCCCAGTCTTCCCACCCAGACTCATATACCACCTGTCCCTCATCTTCCCCACACGGTTCTATGATCCTTTGGTTGGATCAGTATTGTTTCCACATTGTTTCTCTAGGTAAATATTATTCAAGCCAAGCCATGTACCATGGTAACCTCCTTCCTTTCTTGCACATTTTGTTTTTCCTACAGTTACTTCTGTTTTTTTGTTTGCTTAGTTACACGTTTATTGATACTTTATCTCCAAACTCTCTCAAACATCTGAATCTTCTATAAAGACATTAAACACTGGAATACACTAGGTATTTTTTCAATTTTCTCTTTTTGGAGACAATGCTCTGAAGCTCCAACCTGGACTGGTCTATCTCCAGGTCTGTCACATACATCTTCCTTCACCATCATCCCTCAGATGCCCTGGTTTCCTGGGTTGACTCTATTTCTCCTCCTTAGATAGGCTGAAGGTTTACTTTCACACTTGATGGCTAACTTGGGTACAGAATTATAGGCTAGAATTCTAAGAGATTCCAAGAGGATCATTTTCTTGAGAACTGGCAAGGCACTGCTGCATTGCCATCGTCCAGTTCCAGAATCTAGTTTGCTGTCCCTGAGAAGCGTGACGCTACTCATATTTCTACCCTTTGTATGTGACCTGTTTTCTTTCTCTCTCTGGAAGGTTCTAGGATCTTCTCTTTATCCCTGGGTCTATCTTCATTCATATGCTAGCTACTTGGCAGTCCCTTTATCTGGAAATCTGTCACCTTCTCTGGAGAATGAGCTTCTAGTTCTCTGCTGGGGAAGAGGAAAGGTAATAACTGTTCTGCCAACTAGGGCTGGGGACCTGGGGACCCCAGAAAGGCCATCAAACAATACTCCTGTTTTTGATCTCACCTTCATGTTACTTCCACAGGTACCAGGTACCACTGAGCCCCGAGCCCTCTGAGGGTTCTGCCGTGTGTGTTTTCGGCCTCCCAGTTCAGGGTTCAACTTTCTTCCTGTAAAAATCAGCCACCACTAACCCATCTGCCTCCCAGGTCCCAAACTGTATTGCCCACATCACCTCTCCTTGCATGGTTGTGCCTTTTTGGAAAAGCTCTATACAGACTCTGAGGTGGGGTCTAGGGGAGAGAGGAAATCAACATGTGTTCAGGCCACTGTTTATGTCCCTCTTCAGAAAACATATATCCTCTTAACTTCTTTCATATCACAGTCTTGCTTTTCCTCAAAACTCACTGGTATCTCATTCTAAGTCTCTGTTTCTGGTTTTTCCTCCAAGACTCAAGCTCCAGGTTCTGGTTTCTCTCAAGGCCCAGTGGGAGAGGACTCTCTTATTTGCTCCCTCCCTACTCTTCCTCCCCACCCTCTAGCTCCCAGGTAAGAGAACCCCATTCTCTCAGCTTGAATACCACTTCTGTGCTGAAGAGTCCCAAATTCTGAATGTTAGTTTTAATCTCTTCTTTAAACTCCAGATTCACATCCAACTGTTTACATGACTTCTACAGCCTGAATCTCACCCAAACTGACTTCTCAATTTTCTTCCAATCTTTTCTAGCTTAGAATATGGCACCACCATTCATCCACTTGCTCAAGCTGGAAACTTAGGAATCTCCCAAGCTTTGTCTATTTTCCTCAAGCTCACATCCAGCTGGCTAGTAAGTCATATTGAGTCTACCTCTAAAATATGCTTTGACTCCATCCATCTCTCTCTCACCTCCACTGATATCACCCTGAGATGAGTGGCCCGTCTTCCTTTGACGACCCTAACAGTCTTCCAACGATCGCTCTGCCTCTACCCCTGCGCTCCTCCAATCCTTTATTCCTGTAGAAGCCAAAGTGATCCTCTTACAATGGAAACCATAGCATATCACCTACTTCTTAATGACCTTTGAAGCTCACCATTGGACTAAGAATACAATCCAAATTCTTGACCATGACTTTCAAGTCCCTAACAGTCCTACAGTCCAATATCACACCACTCTTCTCGTTGTGTTCTAGCCACACTGGTCTTCCTTCATTTGTTTAAAATAACGTGTTATTTCTCCCACGGCCCTGCTCCCTCTGCATGGGATGGCCTTCTTGCTGCTCTCTGCACAGGTGGCCCATCCGATCCTTCAGATCTCAGCTCCTCAGACAGGCCTTCTTAACATACCTCAACATGTCTTCTAAAATTCTCCATCCCTGCTCCCTGGCCCCAACATCTTTTTTGTTTGCTCACAAATACTGATCACGTTTTGTCATTATTTTTCTCCCCCACTAGTCTGTAAACTCCACAAGGGGAAGGAATGTGCTAGCACTGTGACTAAAAGAAGTCTGATCACTGTTAGTCGAATAATGGAATAAATATCCCTACTTCCCATCAACAGCTGAATACTATATATAAAATGTCTTCCATTACAATAAAATTTAATCTTCCCATAAAATTCAAGGGTTGTCAGAAGTTTGAAATAGACTCAAGGAGTTTGAGAAGTTCCTGCTTATAAATGAGAAACTGAAACTTCATTCCAAGTACTACGTTACGGACACATTAAATTATGGGAACTTTCAGAGTGACAGGAAAAGAGAGAAATTCATATTCACCGATCCCTTTGTGAGGATCAGGGGGACAGGAGACAAACTTCAGCACTTCAGCTCGTTTCTCTCTCAGACCCCAGCGGTAGAGGATTTCTCCATAGCATTTCTTAAAGTCATCGAATTGCTGGGTATTGGCAGGGTCCAGAAGCCTGGGTCAAATTCAAAAAACTTCCAGTCAATTTCGTTAAGAAAAAACAGGCTCAATACCACAAGCACTTAATCTACCTTTCTTAAAGCCAAAGTCCTGATTTTTGGAGAATTTAGCACCGTTAGAGTGCAGCTCCCACCTGGCAAGGGTGTTACCTTTTATTTTTATCATGCTGGTCACGTTCTCCCTCACGAGGATCACTGTAGGTCAGACTCCCAAAGCGGATTTCTTCTGGTGAAGACTCTCCCCAAGGTGAAGACGTATGTTCTGTCTCTCTTCCCACTGAAGAAAATCAAATGGGAAGGGAAGACGGAAATCAGGGAAGGCATGGGAAATATCTGAAAACTCTCCTAATGCCACATATCTCCAATTTATTCCCTGGAAGAAAAATACGCTAAGTTGAAAATCCTGAGAAATAAAATGAAAGAGAACACTTTTCAAGCCTTACCTTTTTGTCAAGCTATTTATTATTAAGGTAGTTTGATAAATAAGGATACTTGATGATTAAGCAAATTCTGGTATAATGATATAGATAAAAACTCTTTACATGACATGAGAAAATGTTCGTGGCACAGTAAAATAAAAAATGGAACACAAAATCACAAACAGAGAGAGACACACACACCTCCCCCCAAACAAACAAAGACTAGAAGGAAATGTATTGGATTGTTAACAGATGTTATTACTAGGCAAGGGAATCAATGATTACTATTTCCTTCACTAATACTTTTTGTTTGTTTTTCTTCACTGGGCATGTGGTACTTTGGTAATCAAGAAAATTAGGAGTTCCAGCCCCAAGGACAGGCAGCGACCGCCTTCTCTCACCTGCTCAGCTGGTGACAGAGTAAGAAAGAGGGTCCTGAATTCCAGTCAAAATGGTGGAGTGGTAGGACCACGAGCATGCCTCTCCTAGCAACTAGAACAAAACCACAACTGAATGCTAAGCAACCATCGAAAAAAG